AATCCGAAACTAGTTTCGGATTAGTACCTTTCCGAAACTAGTTTCGGGTAGGTTTCGTTTCGAGTCCAACTCTACTAGCGATGCTCTTAATAATAAACATATCAGGCATTTTTATTTGATCATAATTTTGCGCTGTTATGGGAAAAGTGTTGGATAGGTAATGGTATTTTTCGGACAAATTATCTAATTGATGCATTATTTCTTTCATTTTGGCAATTGATTTGTCGAAATTTTCATTGTCTCCTTCCGTATATTTCGTCTCTTCATTATTTTTATCTAAAAGATTACTTTCAGTTACTTCATCCACAACTGTGTCATCATGAATATTTTCCTTGTTCTCTTCATCTATAATTTGATCAAACAGCTCTATGTATTTATGTGTCTTTTCATTTATATGTATATCTTCGTCATCCAACACCAACCTCCGAAATAACAATTTCAACTCATCCTCATCTAAAAGGTCATGAACCTGACACAATGTATCTTTATCACCTAAATCGATAACATGATAATTTGTAACATCTTGATTGCCCCATGTAGTTTTAAGCTTACTATAAAACGACGGAAATTTAACTTGACCGAAAGTGTCTGAGGTATCATTCACTGAATTCACTAAATCTTCATCTGTAATATTTTTTTCAGACTCTTGTAGTGTGTTGTGTGCACGTTTTTTTGGCAGAAAAGTGATAGACTGTTGTGGTTTCTCTTTTAAATTTGACATAACATTTTCATTGGAATTTTCATAATTTTTATCTTTGAATCTTTCCAAATCATTCGATGCTTGAGTGCGCTCACTTTCAAAATTCTCCAGTTGTCTGGCAAGTGCAGTTCGTACCATTTTATCACGAACTACCGATGTCTTTATAACTTCATTCTGTTGCTGTGCCTATAAAAGAAGAAAGGAAGTAAACCGTGTGCCTTTTGTATACTTCATTATATAGGCAGGTTCAAAGACAATTACCATCAGAATATTACGCTCAGCAATCAGACCTTGCATTTTGTTATCCTCCTTTGCGTTTTTGGTCCATTCCTTGCAATAAATAAATAAATAAATAAATAAATAGATGCGCTACATATCTTTTTAGGAGATTTGGAAGAAGAATATCGAACAAACAGTTCATCACCGATCGACTAGCAGTGTACGGCTTTGCAGGAACAAACAGTTCATGACCAAACAACAAGCAGTTGTTCAGCTTCTGCCAAATTAGAGTAGGTACGAACTAGCAGTTCATGACCGATCGACCAGCAGTGTACGGCTTGACCATACTCTAACCTTCTTCCTTCCTTTCCCTTTTTCTAATAGACATACAGTACCTTCCAGTTGCAAATTATAAGTTTTGCTTTTTCTCTATGCGTCGCAACAGGGTCAAAATTTGAAATTTCTTTAAGGTCTTTGTTGATCTTATCAAGAGTCTGCTTAAAATCAAACAGGTGATTATTTTCTTGGTAATATTTTATAGCATTCTCGCACGTCCATTCATCGTCCGTTTTAAAATAATCCACATCGATATTGCATTAAAAGTAATAAACCAAAACTCTATGTCAACTGGGGTAAAATCGCCACCCAAAAAAATTTCACTGGCCAATCGAATTTCAAGATCATGTGTAATGTAGCACGATCAGGAAAATTCAAAACAACGTTCGTTTTGTCAAAAATCGCCTATAACTCAAAAATGAGTCTATGAAAGAGCCTTCTGCGTATTAGTAAAAAATTTTCCTTGCAAAATTTTGATATAATAAAGCACTCTAAACTCTAACCTAGAAGCAACACCCTAACCCTAATCTAACAAACCAAAATTTTATTTCGAAATATAGTTTGAAATTTTTTTGGGTGGCGATTCTATTCTAATTCTCTATGTCGCGTATATCTATTTAAATTTACCCAGTTGCTTACGTAATGTTCTGCATGCTTGACCAATAAAAATCCACCAAGGGAATAAATGTCACATGCTAATCAGCCAATAAAAATCGCGAATTTCAAAAAAAATAAAAGAAACAAAATATGCTCTTATTTTATTGAAGTTATTGAAGAAACCTTTAACCTTTATGGCTTTGAAATTAGTTATTTGCTTTGAAATAACGGTGTGAATAATGATTAATATTTATTTACACAATCACGTTTAAATAAAAAATTGGAGCTCAGCGGACCCCTTCTTTATTTAATAAAAATTGTTACAGGGACAATATACAGATAAAAAATAATTTTTTCTGATTATACATTAAGGAACGTAATCATTATCACTACCATCATCATTACTAGCTGAATACCACATATAACTTTTAAGAGAATTGTTATCCCTATCTTTATCTCTGTAGTAATGCGAAATCGGTTTATCAGAGATATTGTTTAGTTTGAATAGAAAAAGAAACTAAGTTCCAGGTGGTTATATTTTGAGAAAATTATTTTTGTAGAATATTTATGCAATATAAACTTTACTTACAAGGTATGATATTAGATGGTATTGGGAAGACATAATATAAGTTCTTTGAAGTATTATTATCATTGGTCTTGGAGATGTTATTATCATTAATCTTGGGGGCATTACTATCATTGATCTTGGAGGCATTACTATCATTGGACCTAAGGGTGGTGGTATCATTGGTTCTGGGGGTCTTATTTTTCTTGTTCTTGGGGGTGGTGCTGTCGTTAGTGCTCATTTTTTCGTTCTTAAATATAAAAATCATAGTAAGTAAAAATTCGTTTTCATAGTCTCCATTAAATGAAATAGCAAATTACTTAAAAAAATATGGTGCAAGAGAATCAAGAAAAAAATATATGAGCAAAAAATAACATTATTGCTAACTTATCTTACGGGTGGGAACTTGCTTATTTTATACCGTTCATTTATTAGATCTAAAAACCTACCAGAAAAAAAAAGTTACATGATTAGTAATTGCGTTACCCTAACACAAGCCGGACCACACTTAACAAAGCAACTCCGTTTCGGGCATAAGTTCTAAACACTAGATCTATTCTACAGTTTTTAGGTAAATTAAACCCCCTTAGATTCAATGATCGGTACTACGAAGTGAAAAAGTTAACGATCTCACCGATCTGAGAATTCAAAATCCCTGTAACATATAAATTTTAACAAAACTACTGATAAAGAACATTATACTCATTACCCTTATAGCCTTTTTAAGTTCCATTCGCGCTTTTTCTTATCATAGAATCATATATAATAGGAAAAGCCTTTCCAGAAATTCATAATATTCGTTATAAATCAAAAATTTACCGTGAGAAATGATTCTG